TGAATGCTGGCTGAGCACTGACAGTTTTCACCATGTGAGATGGGAGGTTGTGAGAATATGAGAGACTAAAGGCTTTCACAACTATTTGTAAGCACTAAAGTTCATAAACTGATTTAGCTTTATATTTATGTTCTACTCTAGCAGTTGTTCTATTAAATACACATGAACATGTTTCCAACTGCTTTCCTCAGAAAATCAGGACCAGAAAACAAAACATTTTTTATTRTCTCCCACTGCAGTATCACTCACACCTATATTCCTGTGGAGGGATTTGTGGCATTTGCTGTTATGAATGAACACTCATAATAACAATGTTATGTTATGAACACTCAGGATGCAGTCAGAGAGCACAGATAATATAATCGAACAGCCAGCTGYTGCACAAAAGGACATCATCTCTGCTCCCCTTCATGTGCTATGTATTCCCATTCCAACATCCTGTGTTAGYGTCAACACCTGGCTGATATCTTGGGGGTCAGTTCTAGAATCAAAATAAGCAGAAAATTAACCCTGCAAAATACTGGAAAACATTCCTACCACTTGGATCCCTGAATCAGACCACTGCAGGRACATACATACCCATGGCAGCACAGGGATGGGAGGGGGAGAGGAACTAGCCCAGACTGAAAAGCATAGCCACCCTCCTCGGTGACAGATAGTCACTAGGTCCGATGAGCTGTGCTATCAAACCATATGTGTACTTTATACTYCACCCAGACAGCACAGCTGCTTCTGCACCACAGCTTGGACACACTGCTGCATCCCAGGGGAAGCTGAGGGTGCCAGCTCTATGTGAGCTCCTGCCTCATTTCAGATTTCACACTGGGCAGCAACACTGCCCACCAGCTAGGGACTGGTACTCTAGCCTACCATTGTACTGCTTCTGTTCTAGGATAAGCATTCTTATACTGATTCCRTGGTTAGAAGAGTATTTWTAATGTCATGATTAAAAAAAATTTAAAACTCATTGTCTACATTTGTCTAAAATTATCTAAAATAGAACACTTTTACAAACCACCATGCACTGCTGCCACCAGTGCCTGCTTTCAGATGGCAATTACTGGTGGAGAAAAGGGCACAATAAAGCTTTTCCTTCTGGCTGTAGAGGTCTGAAACTGCAGCAAACTCTGAGCTGAGAGGAAAGTTAAGCTCCTAAAGACAAGCGGGCCCATGCTGTAACATGGACTCTACCAGAGCTCTTCTGTAAGCTGCTCTGCACCTAAGGGCACTTTCTCCAGTTTCCTTAAGCAGGCATCTGCCCAGGAGTTACTGAATGTTTTTCTGCTTGTGCTCTGCAAATGTCAAAGCAGTTCATAGTGCCATCACCTTCRTGTCACAGAATGAAGATAACTGGGTACAAAAAGAGATGAAACACTGCAGGAAGGAAACACTGGAAATGGAAGTATGCTCCTAACTTTTGCATCACCCACAATTCACTCCAACTYTCCTTCCTTCAGTTTCTCTGTGCAAACAGTGGCTGCTGCATCACTTTCCCTACATGCATTAACACTTCATGCCTCAGGCTTTATAAAACGCACGAAGATGCCCAGGGAGCAGCATCATGGCAGGATTTTTGTAGCTACAGGATGGAGTAGAGGCAGGCAAGCCCCACTGTGTGCACTGCTTATGCGGAGGAGGAAAGAGATGAACAACTCAGAGTCCTGTGTGTAAATGTGCAGCTGAGCAGAGGCACTCTGAGCGCTGTGTCTTGCCAAAGGCGGGTCACACAGGTCAGTGATACACAGTGCAGCAGCAAGCCGTGTGCTGAGCTCATGCTCCTGGCATGGCAATGTGGCATTCTGGATATATTACTTGCATTACGAACATCATTTCTGCCAGTCTGTGTCTGCGAGCCATTCTTCAGCCTAATGTCCTCTATGCAAGTATTGAGGGACACTGAAACGGACACTTGAGAAATGAAAACAAAAAAAATTGACCTTTTTTTTCTGCTTCTAACTTTTCACACAATTACAATCTTAATGGGAAAAGCTGATGYGTTTGCACAGAACTACAAACACTGTGCATCAGCACATTTTCACAATTTTACATAAAAATAAAATGGGAGGTGGGAGGCAAATCTAAGCATAAYTACATAACGCTTCCTTTAAAGCACTAAATGAGACAAGTCTTTAAATCTGTATCAGCCTTCCAAGGCCTAAAACATTGCTGATATTTTCCACGATTTCTGCCAAGTTCTAGATTTTACAGCTGAAATGTTTCTTGGTACACTGCTCCTGACAGGTATTAATTTTCTAATCCAGAGCTGAGTATTCCAGCCTTACAGTCTGTGTTTGCAGGAGACAAGTGACACAGATGCTAAAAGGTGCAAAAAGGCATCAGGTTCATATTCTCTGGCCTGATAACAGGGCTACCCATAATAACACAATGAAAATATTTTACCAGTTGCTGAAATTCAAGAAATGATCAGCTTAGAATCAGGCACAGCACGGAACTTAGTACATTATTAGCTTATCTACCTCAGAAGCTGAGGGACACAAAGTGTTTGCTTAGTTGCACGGTATTACCAGTGCTGAGCCTGCAAGTCCCAGCATGGTGCAGTGCTGGAGGTATGTCGGCTTCCCAGGAAATAACGGAGCACAAACACAAGGGAATGCAGTGCTTCCACACCAGGAATGTCACTCTTCCACACCTAGCCGTTCCCTGTCACCCCTGCCACACATCCTTCTATCAACTGAAGGGGGCAGTGGGAAGGAAGCACCAAGGAGGCACAGAAAAAGGAGACTTTGCTACCAAATTTGCTCCCTACTTCAGTAATGATTCCTATCACAAATGGAAAGTGCCACTGATCACACGTTCTTCATGTTACCCAATTGTGATGCTTGCAACTTGCAGTTCTCAAGGCCTGCTCTGTGCAGGCTGAAACCCTCGAAGTAGACAGGTAGAAGAAATACAGGGAGGACAGCAAGTAACACATAAAAAGAGGATTCTAACAGATCTCCCAAAGGCAGAACACTTTACTACAGTGATTCAGTTACTCACAGCCACAGAACACTTCACAAAGACCTTGTGTATTTAACCTCTTTCTGCAATATGTCAATGGCACCTCCCCTGTTTTTTCAAACAATCTGAATAATATGTATGGAAAACACTAAATGAAAGTATTTTCATGGATGTAAATTGAAACCGTCACCCTCCAAAGTTCAGAAAAACTTTTAATTTATATATTCATACACACACATATGTAATGATTTCAAGAGAAATTATCACAAAGTACAAATATACTAAATAACTCAAGAAGTCAAATATGCTTACTTTTACATACAAAACAATTTATATTTGACTGATAATTCTCATTTGGGCTCACAGTAGGAATTTCTATCTCATTTTGGTGGCTGATGAATAAAGCAAGTAATCGGAAAGAGTGTTTTCATGTAATTATTTATGACTCATGGGTCTCAGGATGTTTTTCCAAATATCCTGCCTCAGAACTTTTGACATRTTTTGAAATGACAGTGAACTTTTTATAAAAACATCCATGGGTTTTTTCAGAGTTAAAGGTCACTACAGTACCCAAAGCGAGAGGTAACAATCTGCAGACACCAATTGTGCAGTTTGTTTTCCAGCACATATTCCCTAGGCTTTAATGCATGAGTTAAATGAATGCAGCTAGGAAGCTCACAGCATCACATCCGGACACCCTAGACAGAGTGGTGTTTCAAGGCTTACTCACTTAACCACACATCTCCAAGATGAAAGCTAAATTACTTCCTTGCATCCTTTCCAACGACAGTGTAAGTTCACAGGCCTTGCTGGGGTGTGTGAGGCAGTGCCTCTGTCACCACAGTCCACATCACCTCYCCTCATGGGTGGAGGGGAGCARGGCTGGCTGAGCAGGGCCCTGAGCMTGTGGGACYRGCTGAGGACTGGGGCTGCTSCAGYAGTTCTCTCAGCCTCCTYRGAAGTGATTCCAGCAATGCTMTGAGCCCAAGCGGGCTATCCCTCTTTCACTGTGCTGCAGGCTCTGACAGGAAGGGCCTGCACTCCATGTGGGACACAGCCAAGGGCTTCCAGAAAAGCTATGGCTGGTCTCAATCACAGAATTGTTTATGGTTGGAATGAATCTCTGGAGATCATCCTGTCCAATCCCCCTGCTAAGGCAGGAATACCTAGAGCAGGTTGCACATGAATGTGTGTCCAGTTGAGTTTTTTTTAAGGTCACCAGAGAGGGACCATKACCTCCCCAGGYAGCCTCTTYCACTGCTCTACTATYSWYAATATAASGAAGTTCTTCCTCATGCTGAAGYGGAACTTCTTGTRATTAAATTTATGGCCATTGCTCCTTGTCCTGTCATGGGGCCCCATGAAAAAGAGCTTGGAACCATCCTCTTGGCACCTGCTTTGGAGACATTAATGTGAATTTATGAGATCCCCTGTGTGTATTTAGACTGAACAGGCSCAGCTCMTGCAGTCTCTCCTCATAAGAGAGATGCTGYGGTMCRCTAATCATCYTTGTGGCCCTCCACTGGACCGTSTCCAGYAGCTCCYTGTCTCTCTTGTATTGAGGAGCCCAGAACCGGACACAGCACTCCAGACGGGGCCTCAGTAGGGCTGAGCAGGCGAGCAGGATCACCTCCCTCGACCCGCTGGGCACAGTGCTCCCGATGCAGCCSCAGGACAGCGCTGGTCTCTGCCGGCAGGCCCGGAGGGGCACACRCGGCGGGCTCAGGCCCAGCCTGTCACGGCACCCGGAGCCGATCCCGGCCGGACACGGAAACCAGCGACGGGAGGGGCCGGCGCGAGCCCGGCGCCAGGCACGCACGCGCCGTCCCGCCCGACTCGGCCAATCCGCTTCGCCRCCGCCCTCCCCGTACCCGCCGCGCGCGTCCTCACGCGCAGCAACGTCAGCGCCTTTCGCCCCCTTTTTTGGAGATTCCCCCCGGCGGCCGGCGGCGCTGATTGGCCGCGGCGCGGCGGCGCATGCGCGGTCAGGACCTCGGCCCCGCCCCGTCTCCCCTCAGCCCCTCCGCTCCCTGCCAGCCGCGTCAGGCGTGGGGCGTGCGGGCCGCCGGGCGGGCCCGGGCAGGAGCCGCCGCAGCAGCCGCAGCCGGGCGGCCGCGCTCGCCGAGCAGCGGGAGGGCCGCGCCGCTCACCTGTTGGCCGCCGCTGCCCTCCTTCCCCCGCCCGGCCGCCGCCATGGCGGAGACCGAGGAGCGGAGCCTGGACGACTTCTTCGCCAAGCGGGACAAGAAGAAGAGGAAGGAGAAGAGCAGCCGAAGTGCCGCCGCCGCTGCCGCCTCCAGCGCTTCCAACGCCGGCTCCAGCGCGGCGGGCGCCGCCGCGGGGTCCCCGCGACCGACCGAGGGCGGCGGCTCCGGGGCCGCTGCCGCCTCCAGCGCTGCCGGC